GGGGAGCCCCCCGCCCCCCCAGCCGCTCCGTCCTCCCCTCCTGCCCAGCAAGCCTTCCCCAGCCCAGTCCCAGTGGCGTGGGCTGCCACCAGGGAGCCGAGGGGAGGAAGCCGTGTCTGAGGGAAGCTTTATCTGCTTTCTGATCCGGAAAGACCTGCTGCCGTGCGGTGGTTTCTCCTCTCAGCAAGAACCGGCAGGAGTCCCGGCTCGGTTTTGCAGTTGGAAGCTGTTCTTTCTTGCTTGACTAAACCATGTCAGCATAAAACACGGGCCAGCGTGGTTTTGTGCTCCACAGCAGGCCGCCGTCCTCGCTGGGGTTGCTTTTAAGGGGGTTTTTAATTGCTGCTTCGCGTGTAAATCCGGGGCCAGCCGCGAGCGTCGGGGAGATGCCACAGGCAGATGTTGCTGCTGTCTGCGCTGCTGCCCGCAACGTGCCGCAAGATGTCGAGGGCCTTGCTGCAGCCCTGGCTGTGAAGGGGACCGGTAGGACCTGCTGGCTGCTGCCCCTGAATGAAACGAACCGAGTCAGCTCTCAGCCCGGGTTTAGCCAGGACGTGCCCACCTCCGGAGCAGCCGTGTGTCCCTCGCAGTGCTGCCAAAGGGCCGCCCCGACCCTCGGCTTCGCGCTTTCCCTCCCAGTGGATCTGGTGGCACCTTTGCTCTGCCCACGCCCCCCATCCCAGCCTCCCTCTCTGTAGTCACCCCTTTGCTCCGCCGTCAGACCCCGCTCCTCCTTCCCCGCTGCCCCCAGAGCAGCGATCCCGCTTGCTGATGCTGACCCCATCTTCTTCTTTCCAGCCCCCGTCACGGCTGCCGGGGGCCCCGCAAGGCCCAGGCTGCCGCCTCCGTGAGTGCCCGAGCGTGGAGCGGCCCTTAGGGTCCGGGGTAAGTCCCGTTTTTTTGGTCAATATATTGCACGTTTTTTCAAAGTTTCTTTTTTGTTTCCTCTTTGGTCATTTCCCCACCCCGAAGGGTCAAACCAAAAACTTTGAAAAACCGCACAGTATATTCAGAAAAAAGGGACTTACCGGCCCCGCTTGGGGACCAGCACGTGGCGGGGCAGGGGGGCCGTGGCACTGCTGCATGTGGGGCTGGGGGCATCGAGACCCGGGGTGTCCCGTCCTGCGCCTGGGGGGGGGGCTGTCCTCTGGCCCGCCGCCTCCAGACACT